CCCTTTAAATTGATTTCTGGAGATTATCCAAGGTGCTTCATGACCCATAATTGGGTCCCAAGCCCAACTTTGGGAACCAAAGTGCAGTGGTTCTCAAACTTTTCAGCTTTTGACCCACAAAATAACAGTAGCAGAGACCTGTGCCCCCAACTATTTTTGATGATAAACATTTGTATCAGGTCAACAAAACATGGGCATAGTAACAATATTTTTRCACTACATTTATACATTTTAAATATACTAACCTCACTCCTTTGTAACAAATAAGGCAAACATGTTACTAATTCCTAAAATCTTTTCAGGACCCTACCTTGATGTTTCGGGACCCCACTTTGGGTCCCGACCCCAACTTTGGGAAACACTGCTATAACAAGACAACGACACAATATGTGGACATTATTTTAACAGCAGAGCCTGAGCTGGTGACAGCACGAGTGATGACAATAAAACTGGAAAAAAAAAATCAACAAGCAGGACTGAAGAAATGAAAAGCACAGTCCTTTGGTATTTAAAGATTCTTGAAACCAACATTCTGTCAGCACTGCAGTGAAGAAAGACAAGGAGCAGCTCCACGAATAGAAAAGCAGATCAAAAGCCGACGCCGACGGTTGCCCTCCTCCTCCTCATCCAGCTCTGTTCTGCCACGTTTATGGGGGCAATCCATCTATTGTTGGACTAGAAAATCCCTGACAGCCTGATGGGAGCCAGAGAAAGACAGAGAGAAACCAAGAGTCAGTGATTGCAACGTTACCTCTTGAACAATACAGGAGTAATTTTGTACTTTTAAGTTGAAAGAACATCCGCACGACCAGTAAATGTGACCTTGTGATGTACTGTTGTAAATTGGTTCTAAAATTAAAAAGTATTTAAAGAAAACCTTCTCTACAAGTTTGTAAATGATTTGACCTAATCAAGAGTTTACAGGTTTATACAACACTATAACTATTAACTAATAAGCTCAATTTGCAGCTTTAAATACATTTATCTATTTAGGTTATGTAGTGATTGACCTTTAGAAATATGTGTGCAGTATCCATTAGGTAGTTTTTAAAGCTCCTGCTAGCTTGCCTACAACTGACACCTAGTGGATATGAGCTGCATTTTTCACTCTGTCTTCAACTCATATTCCTTTCTGTCTTTAAAAGCAYTGAAAAAAACAGAAAAATGGATTCAATTAAAAAACATGACTTTTCATTAACTTGGCATTAACATTTTTTTAAACATAAAATAAATTTGTTACTCAAATCAGCTGAGTGGAACCGGTTGACTTTTTTTTTTTTTTTTCAAAAAATCCATTATGTTTTTGAGTGCATGTCATCTTTTTTAACAGGTGTTAAAAACCCAAAATACAATAGGGAAACCAATTACAAAATCTATAATCTTGAGATACAAAAAAAGTGAAAAGAAAAGTGCAGTCTGCATTTCAAATTTTATAATTGTTTCCAAATAAATGTTATGTTAGTGCTTTGTTTGTGCAACAAAATCAACAGAAGCTAATCTGTTTGTGGGTTTATTAAAGACATATGAAACAGTATATTGTGTATCCATAGTTCGAGAAAGAGTTGATGTTGTCTTTGTTATTTGTTGATTATTATTGTATGGATTTAGTTTTTTTAGTGGTAAAGAGGTGCAGATATTAAAGGATTGTTTCTTCTTTCTGCTGCCTTTCATTTTATTAGTGATTTGTATTTTTTTTTGCATTTTTTTCTTAATTGGATACATTTCTAAAACATTGTTTCATCCAACTCAATTCAATAAATCAAGCGGGAGCATCTGTTTTTCCACGTCTCCACGGGGTGAGGCTGTTTCACAAGAATCACCATGAAGTCTGCTGTTTCTCAGAGTCATTGCTGCCAGACAGATGGTGAATCTCTTGAAATTAATCTGTTAAATTAGTAAAAAATTCCAGTAAGTAATAAAGGTTTTATGTAAAAAAAATGTGTTTCATCTCACCTTTTAAAGTTCATTGCTGAAGGTTTTGAGTTCTGCAAATAAGCTTAAAACGGTTATTTTCAGCAAGCAAGTAAAGACAGTATTACACTAACGATGCAAAAACTATTCCATCTCAAAAATAAGACAGTAAAAAAGTGTGAGTGTGCGCATCATTCACAGGGTGAGTTTACACACCTGACTGCCCATCCCGTAACTGTAGCTCCCGCTCTGGTTGGTGTTTATTACAGTTTTACTGCCTGTTCTCTCCTGCACTGACTCAACATTCAGGTCCAAAGATCRCTGCACTGTTTGCCCAAGGCCCGGGCTGGTAGGTGCAGGAGGAGATCCAAATACTTCATTCATGAAACTGAAACCTGATTAAAAATTCTCTCACCTCTACAATACTTCACCTGCTGAGACAGCGCCTGCAGTTAAATTCCTTCGGCCATTTGTTTAGTTAGTGGTGGACTTGGTTTTACTTTTTTTTTCTTTTTCCAGGACTTAAAAACAATTAAACCTTGTGCTTGAGGTAGGTGGTTGGTTTTCCTTTGCTTTAGTAGTTTAGAGAAATATTGATATATTGGTGGACCAACATTCTAATAATCAGAACAAAGAGAGTGAAGTAAACACTTTCAATCTAAACCAGCTTTAGAAGCTGCATCTGAAGAGGAAGTAATTTATACTTCCTCTTCTCTGTTCGCAAAAAAAAAAAAAAGTTAAAGTTTTTTTGGTCTTTTTATGTTTCTTTTGAGGGCTCACAGTTAATGAAACATTAATAAACAAGATGCATCGTTAACTTTATTTTTTTCAGATTACAAATCAGAAGACTAGATGTCAGTCCAGTACAAAGGGCTGAGAAGGGAGTGGCTGATAGATAAAAACTGTAGAGTTTAATAAATGTGATACAGTTCTGTGTCTAATATCATCTACAGTATGTTCTCTTTCAAAATGCACAAAAACATATTATCCCCTTCCTATTGTCTGACCATTTTTTGATTCAGAGGATTTTTCTTCAGGTGCAAGTAAAAAATAAAAAACTACATTCTTTGTTGCGCATTGAGCCGTTTTGTTGCATTTTTTTTTTTACTTAATCAATGAATAATTGGGCTTTATTGTCCCAGCTAATACTTGAAAGTTGGCATACATTTTATTTTCCCTGTAACTTTACAATAACAGACAGAAATGACCTTTTATTTTCTTTCTTTTTGGCCACAGTTGGCTTTATCCATCAATTCGTTATCTTTTTCTTTTCTTCCTTTACTAATTGAAGACATCCCTGGTGCCCATTTTTTTAATCACGTATAAAATCACACAATAAGCTCCATCTTCACTTTGATCAGGTGTTGACTATGGAAGCAGGCAACTAAAGATGGGGTCGGTGACGTCGCGCTTTGGCAACTTGTGTGGGAAAGAGAAAAAGCAAGGTGAGCCCAGACGAACTCCGCATGAACTGATTAGCAGCTCCAGTWGTTTGCAATAAATGTTACATGTGAAACATCACAAAGTAACTTTTGCATCATTTACACGTCACATTTTATTTGTTGTTCTCGACCTTTTTCGCAGAGGAGGAGAGACACCTGCGAGCWAACGACAGACAGTTCAACCTGACTTTTGACTACGCTGTGAGTGCAAAACTGTTTGTAAAAGTCACAATGATCTGTTACAGGGCTTTAAAATAATGTATAAATTAAAACATCTGAAGTGTCCGCAGCAACATTACTATTTTTCACTGCTATTTAACAGAACAATGCCATCAAAACCTCCAAATACAACATTTTCACCTTCCTGCCTCTCAACCTGTTTGAGCAGTTCAGGCGTCTCGCTAATGCTTACTTCCTCTTCCTTCTTCTCCTTCAGGTAAACAACTTTCTCTTAGTTTTTTTTTTTTATCCTGAGTATTAAAATGATAATAGGTCTTTCTTTTTGTTTTGCGTCCAATTTTCTGATTAGGATGAAAAAGTGATCACATATAAAGCATTGTGGTTGTTCTTGTCTGTGCTGACAGCTCATCCCACAAGTCTCCTCTCTGTCCTGGTTCACCACGGCCGTGCCTTTGATCCTGGTACTGTCTATGACTGCAGTCAAAGACGCCAGCGATGACATTGTAAGGATAAAATCAAAACATTTACAACAGAATATCCCTTCTAAACAGTTTTATCATTTATTTAATTAGAATTTATTATTATTAATAATATTATTTTGCCTCTACCGACCAGAACAGACACAGATGTGACAGGCAGGTGAATAACCGGCAAGTGAGCATCCTTGTGGAAGGAGAGTGAGTCATGTAATGTTTATTGCATCAAAATATTTTAAATTATGCACACAGGTAAAGTGGATACATGCATGTTAATTTTGTTTCATCTTTACAGGTTGAAAAAAGAAAAATGGATGAATGTTCAGGTTGGAGATATAGTCAAACTGGAGAGTGATCACTTTGTCACAGTGAGTATGGGCTTGAATKAAAGACTTAAGCAAATTTTGACTGAAAAAAAAGTACCTTAAATTAACTTTACACCCATGCATTTTGTCTCATTACCACTTAACCATTTCCATCCCCTATAGGCAGACCTTCTGCTGTTGTCCAGCAGTGAGCCTCTTAATCTTGTCTATGTGGAAACAGCTGAGTTAGATGGGTGAGGCTTCTGTACAGTCAATGTTTTAATTTTATTTTGTTTTATTATGTTTTTAATTTTCTATTCTCTTTTTTATTACTTGTTTTTATTGTGGACCCGTCACTGGATCGCCCTCCTGATGTTTCCCAGTGAAACAAATCTAAAGGTCAAACAGGCCCTGACTGTAACTGGTGAGCTGGGAGACAACATTGATGCTCTTGCTGCCTTCAGAGGTAATTTGCGTTCCCGTGCAAGCTTAGGTGTGAAGAAATACACAAGTCAGAAGAAGCTAGGAACAAAAACAAAATCAAAGCATTTATGTACTTGGAGCTGAAAGCCTGATTGATGCTAAAGTTCAACGAAATGTGATTTAAAACTTTTCTTCTGTGAGCCKGAGATCCACGTCCCTAACAGAACTGAACTATTGTCTTTAAAGTCACTTTTAATGTAAATACTGTTTTACTGTTTCTTCAAGAATCATTTTCCTTCAATGTTTAGATCATCCACAGGCTGGCAGAATGTTTACACATAACTTTTGATATTTTTGAAAAAAAAAAGTTCATAAACTTAATTTTCTTTTATTTCATAATGACAAAATAAGAAGAAATACTATTATAAATAATCACTAAAATATTTTAATATGTTTTAACATGTTTCTTTATTTATTTTTATTTGACCTTTATTTATACAGGTAGTCTCACTGAGATCCAATTTACCATTAAGACCGGTTTGAAGTMATTACACAAAACAAGTAACTAAAGAAATCTGACTCAGTTAAAAAAGCTGATAAAATAWAAACTAAAAACAAGAGAAAGTTTCATAAGAAGATTTCTTTTTTTGTCTTAAAATAAAATGTAAYTGACCCAAAGGAATCACAGTGGGTAGCTTCAGATGCTGCTGAGCAGAGCAAAGTCAGAAACAGCTTTTTCCCCAAGTTCTGACCGTACTGTACGTTTTTTTTTAGTTCTTGCTTTATGTGAGAAAYTACAAAGCTTTTTAAAAGATACCTGTGTGTAAAAGCTTTGGACATGAGTTCCTTCCACAGAGAGAACCATGTCATAATGTTTAGTTCTGAAACAAACTGACAAAAACACAACATTWATATCAGTGTTTTGGAGATGTTTCAGTTCAGACTTGCCTGTTTTCCCTCCTGACGTGTGTTTTTCATCTTTGTCCCACATCTGAAAGAAACAATTAAACTCAGAGCAATATTTTTGCTTAAAGCCAGATGTAGGTTATCTTTTTCAACTTAAAGGTGAGCAAAAGTGTTGTGAATGAGCACAACCCTTCCTCATCAGCACAATTCCAACATGCAACTTCCACCCTCGCGGCGTGGTCTTCAGGCAGCTGTTGACCTGAACTGACCCTTAATAGGAGACCAGGGTCCGCAAAGTCACCCCTCAGCCTGAACAGGTAGCAGGTCTGAGGGGCAGGCCCACCTGTCCCACAACAAGCATTATTTTCTCCTGGGTGGGACGACAACACACGGTATCAGGTCTGGTTAAATATTTCTAAACTGATGCTTGATAAAATCATTTCCTTGTTTGCAGTAATAAATAAATAACTTGACAATTTGGTTGAATCTAAAATAACATCTCTCCTGCCATGTTCTAAAGTTTATTTATCAGTAGTTAAAATTTGTCTAAATTCATTGCACATGTAAACAAATCATTTCCATCCAAAGTTTTCTTTTGATAAATAAGAATTTTACCTTAGTTTGTTAAACATTAAATCTAATAGCTCATCATGTCATCCATTTATTTTCCCAAATTATTTCTTTCTGTTTTTATTATTTATTTTTGTAATAAAATAAGACAAATTTGGTTTCCACCTCTCTGAGTGAATATTGATTGGTTGGAAAAAAAGGWTTCAGTGTAATTATGTGAGTTCTCCTTCAGTAGTTATGATTAATAAAAGGGTGAATGAAGGAAACTTAAGCAAACCTAAGTGCAGCCAAGTGGATAAAACAGTTTCACCTTCCTGTTTTATCACTCAGCTAATAAACTCTGCACCATTTTGTTGACATTTACTTTCAGGTGAAGTTCAGTGTGAGCCTCCCAACAACCGTTTAGACAAGTTCAAAGGAAACCTGACCATAAACGGACAAACTTACGGCCTGGACAACGATAAAGTCCTGCTCAGAGGATGTACTCTGAGAAACACAGAGTGGTGCTTCGGTCTGGTCATCTTCGGAGGTAAAAACGTTAATAATAAATATTGTATAGTTTTTTTTAGCTTCCTTTGAAAAGTTAGTTTGGGTCTTTAATGCCTTACATGTAGGAAAGGGGTTCATGTTTGAGAGTTTACCAGTCATGTCTGCAGGAACCCAGCAGATGGAGCTTGTGTTGCATTTATAAAACCCAGGCTTTAACTCCCAGTGGAAGTCATCGGGACAAGACTACATAAAAAAATATTAGAAAAGATAACCCACTCACATATGTAACTTTCTTCACAGATGCAAATAATTAAATTCATTGTTTTTCTTATTTTTAGAGCTTATTTTAAATATAATATTTTTTTCAGTAATATACATGAAATGACTATTAGCCCATTTTATATCTTCATCTATGAATAGTCATTTGAAAGATATTAATCATGGGGGTGCAACTATACATGCATCTGTATCAAACTGTTCAATACATTGTTTTTGGTTCTATATGCGCTTGTATGGAACAATACAGATTTTTTAACGTTTATTTTATCAACTTGTCTTCTGAAACAATCTGTGTTGAAGGCTCAGTGGATCTGCATTTAACTACTCCATCTAGGCTGTATTGCTGAGCACAGATCCAGGGAGAAACTTGCCGTTTCAGCAACATTTAATTTAAAAACTGTACTTTTGAGGTTAAACAAATGTTCATACTTTAGTTCAAGAAATTACAAGTTAAGAAGGGCATGGACATTTCTCTTTTTTGTGTTAAAAAATATTGAACCTATCCTAATTGTGAATTTTCTGTATTGTTTCATCTCTAATATACTAATTTTAAAAGAATGATTGATTTGGGTGATTTTACTCGTATATATTAAAATATTTTT